GCCGTACCTGTTTCCGCATGTTGTTCATGACGCCCATAAACCCTGCCAACAATTTGGCTTCTTCGCGAGCAGCAAGTTTCTTCTCGGTCTTCTTCTTACTGCTCTTCTCCACCCCGGAGGCTGCCATCCTCCCTCCGCTCGCCTCTAGCCGGGGTTCGCCGCGCCGCGCCGCGCCAGAAGTCGCACTCTCCGGGTTCGCTCGGTCTCTGTTTACTCAACACCAGCCAGGACTGCGGCCGCGGCACGCAGCGCGCAGCTTCCGAGCGGGCCGGCGGCCGGCAGCACCGTCCACCACGGCGGAGCACAGAGCCGGGAGGCCACTCCGGCGCTCCCAGGGAGGAGACCCGGCGGACTCGGAGGCAACAGTAGCAGAGCCGGAGCGGCGGCGCAGGCTGCGTCCTCCGCTCGGAGGGGCGGGGCCGACTAGGGGAGGGGCGTGGTCTCTACGTCACAGCCGGGCGCCGCTCAGCCCCTTGCTGCATGCGTAGTGCGGGCGCGGCAGGCGTGGTGAGTGCATCCCAGGGCTTTGTAGGTACCCGAGCTGAGGGAGTGTAGCCTTGGAGTTGGTTCATGGCCTCACGTGCTTTTCCCTTGGCCAGTGGCTGATTTCCCAGGTATCTTTACATGATTCCCTACTTTGGATGATTGGCCAGTGGAAGCACACTAAAATGTCTCCCGGTGTAATTTCTGAGAGAATACGGTTGTTTTCCTCCCTGCGGCATCAGAACCTAAAGTGTTGTGGGCGTCCAGTAAATATTAAATGATAAAAGAATATCCCATACTTCAAGTTAAAGGCTCATTACACGGAGCACAAGGTTTATCTGCCTGAGATTCATGAAGAATATACAGTTCCACTGGTGTCTCATTGGTATCCAATGCCTGCTTATTAGAATGGATTGTTCTTTTTCAAACGGAAATCAGATATCAGCTGCAGAAATCTTTAGATTTTTGTGAGTGTCCTACGGGGGCAACAGAACTCAATCCTAGCACTCATGAAGTGCTCTTAAAGCTACAGCTATTTATTATTTTTGGTGTATAGTAATATGCGGGATTATTTGAAATAGCTATTTTTTTTTTTGTTTTTTTTTTTGGTTTTTCTCCGCTACCGGGAACCGAACTCACGACCTTGCGCATGCCAGGCAGGCGCTTTTGCAGCTGAGCTAAATCCCCAGCCCTTTTTTTTTCATTTTGAAAACTTTCTACATAGCCTCTTAATTTTCTACCCAGATATAAAAGGACTAATGGGAGATGTTTTATGTAAAATAATTTAATTATTGAAACATTATACTTTCTCTTGGTGAAGACAATACAGTATAACAAATGAAAGAGTAAGCAGCTAATAGGTGTCCATTTTTACAAAAGAATAAGATACTTGCTTCTGGGTACTATTTTTTTCTTTTAACCGAGAGGTTCTCAGATGTGCTTCAGTTGTAACTAGTGAATAACTTGAGGATTTCAGTGGGTCCGAGCAATACAGTAGGAATCTTTTTTTTTTTTTTTTTTTTGTTTGTTTGTTTTTTCCTACAGGGGGCCTGAGCCCAGGAGCATTCTACCATGAGAATGCTCTTGGGTTTACTCTTTTTTTTTAAAACTGAAAAGAAATATACTAATTCTTATGTCTTGGGAGACACTTAATAATTCATGATTCAAAAGCAGAAAAGTAGATGATGTGATAGTATTATTCTGTAGTAAGGCAAAAACAGAAGAACAGGAAACAGTATACTTAGAAGTGGATGTTGGAACAATCCTTCCACATATCACAGATTATAAAACATCAAAATAGGGGCTGGGGATTTAGCTCAGTGGCAAAAGCGCCTGCCTGGCAAGTGCAAGGTCATGAGTTCGGTTCCTGGTACTGGAGAAAAACAAAAAAAAAAACATCAAAATTGATGGACTCATAGGATTCAGATCTCAAAGAATCCATGGACATTATGTAGCACAAAGGTTAGGCATGAGGCTTGCTTAGGTGGAAAATCAAGCATCTCAACTTTTGGCAGATTGTTTAACTTTCATTATTCTCGTGCCTTAGTCTAAGGACTATTCTTACTCCTTAGTCTCCTTAACTGTAAAAATAGGATCTATCACATGCAGCTGACATAGGATTAAAAAAATGCCAGTGCAAGACATTCTATTTACTTTGCTGAGTTAATAATAATAATTTAATTCAGAATTTCCCAAAATTATTCCTTGGAATACTAATCTTTTGAATCAACTCTTGCTTCTTGCCCAGAATTAGTTTTGTGGGAATACACTTGCAGGAGAACAGATCCCTCATAGTCTTGGCTGACCCAATTTCCCCTCTCCCATCCATTCCTGCTTGTAGTTCTTAGACTTCCTTGCAGCATCCTGAGATAGGGAGGGAATGTCCAGAACAATCAGAATTGTGTCCTTATTCCTCCCAGAGAAGGTTGTGCTGCACTGCTTGATCTCAGTGATCCCAGTGATGCCTATGGTGTAAAACTAAAGCAGACTGTGTTCCGGGTCCCTCATCTCAGAGGAATGTGGGGCCTAACTCCATCAACCTTGAGCAGCTTTCCTGAGCCTTGGAGAACTACTTTACCAAGTTTTCTAGGCTTGTGTTTATTTTTGCTTCTAACCTGTGAATAATGTCTGCTTTGCTTGATTTGTTGTATTAATATTATGCCTTGCTGCATTTGTGCAAATGGTAGAGAATCTTCTAAACAACTTTGGAAAATATGTAAGATATGTCCTTTTTGGAGAAAATACTCAAATATATTTGTGTATCAAGTGTTTAGAGAAGATCTGTTATTTCTTGAATTTATTTAACTTTGTTGTAGTCTGTTGCCTATAGCTGTTTATCTTCATTTCCATAAATTATTCACACCTGTATCCATTCACAGACTGGATTCATAAAGCTGTACTCATTCTGTGGGACTTTACCTCTACAAGCTCCAGGTTATTGGATCCAGACTGAATGCTTCAACCAAAGGAAGCCAGCTAATAAGCCAGGATAAAAATCATCAGTGTCCCTCTGGACCCTGGAGAGAGGGATGTTGGTAGCTGGCATGTAGCAATACTGCTGGGAATAGGTACAAGGGACTCAACCATCCATGTTTGGGACATGTGTGTAGATATGTAGAGAAAGGCAGTACACAGAGGCTGCAGAGAAAAATAACAATAGAGCAGAAACCCAAAGAGAAGTCAGGAAAGATCAGGTGGTCTGTGGAGGGTGACATTTACTATGAGGTTAATAAAGCTTAAAATTCAGAGTCTCTAACTTGATCATACCATTTTCAAGCCTAGGGGGCTAGCAGTGTGTTCACATAACCATTTGGTTTTATGAAAGTAATCAAAGATATTTTAATAGGCTGAGTCTCTTGTCTCTACTCTCATTTCCTATTATACAGTGATATCTTGGTGCATGAACTCACTTCTATCCACCATTCTTGTTGCAAACAGACCTGGACAAGAACCAAATCAAATTTCCCCATAAGGTCGACATTGAACCTGACCCTTGAATTAGATTTGGTTCTTGCTCAGTTTGGTTTGTGAAGAGAACCATGCAAAGAATTAAGTTCATGAACTGAGGTACCACTGTACTTCTTTTACTATCATGTAGTGTTGAAGTGGCTATGGGTATTTTGGAGAACTAAGGATAAATAAAGTTGGCAATATATTTTATTGTTATCTAGTGGGATATATCTCTGTAGGTCACAATTACATACATATACTAAGCTCTTTTCAGACTCCCTAATGTGGGAATGGCACACAGGAATAGTCCCAATGCTAACTGCACCAACCTTGACTTGTAGTGCAAAGATGCAAGACCAAAATTTTATCATGCTATGTCTTACAGTGCCCAGCATTGAAAGTATGTAAGTAGTGGAAAAAGTTTGAAACAAGTTTGGTTGGCTAAGCCAGAAGCTGGTCTCTATATATCATGCATATATTTTATAAGACAACATATGAATTATATAAATGTGACTTAAAGTTTCTGGATGTGAGAATAAGGATCTCTGAAAATCCACTCCTCTATAAAAGCAACAAGAACACTGGTAAATTGTCAACATCAACTTTTTTTCAGAAGACTGGAAATCAACTAAAGTCTTGCAACAATCTGATACTATTTATTTAAGAAAAATGGCTGAATCTCAATAAGAACCATGAGACTTGCAATATACTAACTTTCCCAAATCCCTTCTCTCTCTTTCCAGACTCATGGGGGCCTTGAAAGTCAATAGCTTACAAGTGTGGTAGCTGTGAGAACCAGCGGAGGCAGAACAGATGAAGAGCCTGGTTCCATCAAAACCCCATTCCTCAAGAATTTTGAGTACTTAACCTATCAGACAGCTTGTGGAAAAGCTCCATTCTCAGTACTTGTCTTTATTTGACCTTGCTCAGAACTTACTTTGTGCAAGTAGCGTGACTAGCAAGGCATTTGACAACAACCATAGTGGCATTTGTTTAATACTGCCACAGCCCAAGGCAGCTTTACCAGTTGGTGCTAGCAAAAGGCTTCTTTAAACATTTAAAATGAACAACTGGATATGAATCAGGGTTTTCTAGATAAAAGAATCAGTAAGCTAGATACATACACATGGAAGAAGAGATTTATTGTAGGAGTTGGCTCACACAATTATAGATATTGAACTGTGCCCTAATACTAAAAAGCTGGAGAACCAGTGAAACTGGTGGTATAAGTTAGTTTGAGTCCAAGGACCTGAGAACCAGGGAAGCTGATGGTATAACTCTCTGAGGTGGAAGGTCTGAGAAATGGGAGGATAGGGGGCCACTTGTTTAAGTCCCAGAATCTAAAGGCCTGAGAACTTGGAGTTTTGATGCCTGAAGGTAGGAGAAGGTAGGTGTCCCAGCTCCAGAAGAAAGTGAGTTTTCTCTTCCATCTTTTTGGTCTCTCTAGGGCCTAAATAGAATGGATGATGCCTACCCACACTGGTGAGGATGGGTCTTTTTTTATTCAGCCTTCTGGGGCTGGGGATTTAGCTCAGTGGCAAAAAGCACCTGCTTGGCAAGCGCAAGGTCGTGAGTTGGGTTCCCAGTATGGAGAAAAACCAGAAAAACCGAAAAACCAGCCTTCTGACTCAAATGCTTATCCCTTCTAGAAAAACTCTCATAGACTTATCCAAAGGCAGTGTTCTGCCAGGTCTCTTGATGTCCCTTAACCCAGTCAGTTTGACACCTGAAATTAGCCATCACACTATGTAATGAGAGGTTCACAGAGGGCTTTGAAAACCGTGCAATACAGTTGTCCCTCACTATATCGCAGTTCACTTATTGCAGCTTCACTGTATCCTGGGTTTTTTAGAAAAAATATATCTAATTCTGTATTGCGGACCTTTTGCTATATCACAGGATTTTGCAGTATGTAGGTATTTATATAGCACTTATGATTTTAATTATTTTTGCCTAAAAATTTTAAACAATATAAAAATATAAAAATGTTAATTCAGGCCCCTCCCCCACAAGCTTGGGAGCCAGGTGGAGACCCGGACAGCTTCAGGGGCCTGGGGGCCATTTTCCACCCATCTGCCCACCTTGGAGCTGAGCTGAACCTTGAACAGCTTTGGAAACATGTATGAGCCAGCCCCGCCTCTGCCCCACCAGTTTGGGAGCCAGGCAAAGCCCCAAACAACTTCAGGGGCCTTGGGTGCCACTCCCTGCCCCACCCCACACCTCAGGGGAGTTAAGTTGAACCTCAGACAGCTTCAACAGCCTCAGTGACTGAACGCTTACCTCGCCCCCCCCCCCACCGCCCCAGCACTGGCGTGGGAACTGGGCCGGGTCCCAGGCAGTGTCAGGAGCCTCAGTGACCACAACCTGCCCACTACTACACCCCAGTGGAAACAGGGCTGAAATCCAGACAGTTTGGGAACCCCTGAGTGGGAGTAAGCTGAGCCCCAGACAACTGTGGGAGCATTGGGGATTGCACCCTACACACACACACCATTGAGGGAGCCACACTAAGTGCTGGGGACCTTTGGGTCCTTGCCCTGCCACTCTGACATCATCCTGGGAGTGAGGCTGAGCTCCAGGGAACCTCTGGATCTCTGAAAATGACAAAATGGAGGAGCAAAATGCAATCGCAGATCTCCATCCCACCCCAAAAAAGTCCAGGAGGTATCAACACAGAAGAGTTTGGAAGTCATACACCTGAAATTTCTGAAATGTTATCAGTTGACGTAAAGAAATAACTTATCAGGCCATCGAAGGCATCAGATCAGAAATAATCTCTGAGGTAAAAAAAGAAATGACTACAATAATGAAAGAATTGCTTAGTATATCTAAAGAAGACATAGAAAAGAAAATAGAGCAGCATAATAAATTAATGGAAACTTTGAACAATATAGGAAAGAACTGGAATGCATGAAACAGATTCAAACAGATGTTGAGAAAATTCAAACTTCTATCGAAAGCTGGCAAAAACCTCTTGAACGAAGCTGAAGATAGACTTTCAGACCTTGAAGACAGCATTGCTGTGAATGACTGTGAAAGGAAGGATCTCTTAAAAATAGCAAGAAATCATGAAATAACAATTCAACAGCTGCAAGACAAAGCAAAGAAAAACAATGTCAGATTAATAGGTATCAATGAAACAGCAGGTGTCAGCACAAATGACATAAAAAGAGTATTTGCGAAAGTAATAGCAGAAAATTTCCCAAGCATGGAAAAAGAATTGGACAGACATATAAGTGAAGCACATAGAACTCCAACTCGCCATAACCAAAATAAATCTACACCCAGACACATAGTGATCAAGATCCCAGAAATTCAACAAAAGAACAGAATATTAAAAGCTGTTAGAGAAAAGAAACAGATCACCTATAAAGGAAAGCCCATCAGAATCATGGCAGACTTCTCAATACAAACCATCAAGTCAAGAAGAGCTTGGAGTGAAATATTTCAGGTCCTGAAAGAAAATAACTTCCAACCCAGATTGATGTACCCTGCAAAAATATCCTTCAAAATTAATGGAGAAATAAAATATTTCCATGATAAAAATCAACTGAAAAACTTCATGAGTGCCAAACCAACCCTACAAAGAGTATTAAAAGATATTCTAGAAAGAGATAAAAAAGACCACAACTTCAAGAACAACAACAGAAAGGAACCACCAAGCAGAGCAAGCAATTAAACAGAGGTTAACAAGAGGAACCAACAGCAGGAAAACAGCATGACAAAGGTAAGCCAATACATATCAGTTATAACCATCAATGTAAACGTTAACAGACATGAAAAATGAAATAAGCAGCAACACAGTCATAACAGGAGACTTTAATACCCCATTGGCACAAAGAGATAGAGCAAATACACAAAAAATTAGCAAAGAAATAGCAGAACTAAACCAAACATGTGAACAAATGGACTTAGTAGATCTTCACAGAGTGTTCTACCCAACAGCCTCAAAATACACATTCTTCTCAGCTGCACATGGAACATTCTCTAAAATAGACATTCTCTAAAATAGACTATATACTAGCACATAGAACATGCTTAAGGAAATGCAAAGGAGTTGAAATTATTTCATGCATACTGTTGGACCACAGTGAAATGAAATAGGAAACTAATGACAAAGGAATTGCAAGAATTCCACAAACACATGGAAATTAAATAACACCCTCTTGAACAATCAGTGGGTCACAGATGAAGTCAAAGAAGAAATTAAACACTGTACAATCAAATGAAAATGTAGATACAACTTAGAGGAACTTGGATGCAATGAAAGCAGTCCTCAGAGGAAAATTTATAGCAGTGAATTCCCACCTCAGGAAAACAGCATGAGCACAAATAAACAACCTTATGCTGCACCTCAAGCTTCTAGAAAAAGAACAAGTCAAACCCAAAGCCCAAAGAAGGCAGGAAATTATAAGGCTCAGGGCAGAAATGAATGCAATGGAGACTAAAAAAAAATACAAAGAATTAATGAATCAAAGAGTTGGTTTTTTGAAAAAAATAAATAAAATAGATAAAACCCTAGCCAAACTTATTTTAAAAAGGAAAAAAAGAACTGAAATACATGTAATAAGGAATGAAAGAGATGAAATCTCTACAGATCCTGTTGAAATTCAGAAGATCAGCAATACCTGCCTTGAAAATCTTTACTCTCACAGGATGGAAAACAGAGGAAATGGACAGACTTCTAGGTACATATGAATTACCAAAGCTGAATGAAGAAGATATAAAAATCCTGAATAACTTGATATCAGCAAGTGAAATTGAAATGTAATAAAAAACTTGCCAATGAAGAAAAGCCCAGGTCCTAATGGATTCACAGCTGAATTCTATAAGACACTTAGAGAAGATTTAATACCAATTCTTTTCAACTTTTTAATGGAAATGAAATGGAAAGGGAGGGAATTCTCTCCAACTCATTCCTGGAGGCAAGTATTATCCAGGAACCAAAACCACAGAAAGACCCAACCAAAAAAGGAGAATGATAGGCCAATCTCCCTAATGAATATAGATGCAAAAATTCTCAATAAAATACTAGCAAACAAAATGCAACAAATCATCAACAAGATTATACACCATGACCAAGTGTGATTCATTCCAGGAATGCAGGGATTGTTCAGTATATGCAAATCAATTAATATAATACACCATATCAATAGAGCCAAAGACAAAAACCACATGATCACCTCAACTGATGCAGAGAAAGCTTTTGATAAAGTCCAACACTTATTCATGATAAAAACCCTACAGAAAATTGGTGTAGATGGACATTACCTCAATCTGAGAAAAGTCATCTATGACAGACCAACAGCTAACATCATTCTAAATGGTGAAAGACTGAAAGCTTTCACTTTAAAATCAGAAACAAGGGCTGGGGATATAGCTCAGTGGCATAAGCACCTGCTTGGCAAGCACAAGTTCCTGAGTTTGCTTCCTGGTAC